CCACTCAACGAGCCTTTGATCAGGTATAAAATGTCTGGTTTGTAAGGATCTGGTTTTTGCAGAGTTTATTTTCAGGTCAAGATGTTTGCACCTACTGACGAGACGGTCAAGAGCCATCTGGGCATACACAAATCTATTGCGACCAGTGGAGATGACTTGGAGGTCATCTGCATACGCTAATAAGTACGTATCAGATGGAAGTTGGATCGATAATAGGTCAGCAATAAGAATATTGAAAAGGAAAAGACTGAGGATACCACCTTGGGGTGTTCCATTCTCAAATGTCTGCACATCTGAGAGAGTGCCTTGAAATCGGACATGCGCCTTTCTGTCCTGAAGATAGTCTTTCGTCCAACTCAGAAGTTTGCCGGAGATACCTATGGAGGCGAGGATACTGATGATGACTTTGCTGTTGGCCAATGGCTTTCTCGATGTCCAAAAAGGTAATGATGCTTTCAATGCCGTCTGATTATCTTTGGTGCTGAGTCCTTTAGTGTAGGCATAAATATTTTGATGGGGATGAGGTATATAGTATGACAGTCTTGTAAAAATGGCACGTTCCATTGTCTTACCTATGCAAGACAGGAGAGAAATGGGTCTGTAAGAGGTAGGTTGACCTGTTTTGGGAATGGGTTGGATGACTGCAACTTTCCAACTGGTGGGAAGACGACCAGCAGCAAGGGACTTGTTGAAGAGATGGAGCAGACTAAGGGCTTCAGGGCCAAGGTGATTTAGCATTGAGTAGGAAATACTATCTAAACCTGGAGCTGTATCAGTACTAATCTTTAGAGCCTGCTTTACCTCCCGTTGGGTGAAAGGTTCGTCAGACTCTGCAGTTTCTTGCAGAGCCTGTTAGATATCAGCATCTCTCTGTGGCGATAAGGCTGCAAGGTGGTTTCTCGTCGAGAGTGGAAGCTGAGAGGTGTTGCTTCTGGTTACGAAGGTCGTTAGCAGTGCATCTGCTTCGGTCTTGGGCTGTGGGTGACGAGCCTGTGGTTTGAATTTTCCAGAACAATGTTCAGTTTTCGCCATAAGTCATGTAATGAGATGTGAACATTTAAGGATTCACACCATTCAAGCCATTTATTTGTTTTAATTTCTTATATTTCCTTCCGAATCAAGGGGATGGCTTCCCTGTACGTCTGGAGAAGTTCAGGTGAAGGATGTTTGTGCAGGGTCTTACGAAGAATGAGGATACGATGTCGAAGCTCCTTTACCCTGTCGTCGTAGAACCAGTGGTTGCGGTGATGTGTGGTGGGTGTTGTCAGAGAGATAGTCTGATTTGCTGCATTGTGTATGGCTTGAACGATTTCTGATTCGAGCTGATCTATGTTGTTAGGTGGATCAAAACTGCTGGCCCAGGTTTCCATCGACTGAGTATATAAGTGCCAGTTTTGCTTCTTCAAGTTCCATTTAAGAGTGGGAAGAGGAGACGGTATATGAGGTGTGTCAGTGGTGGAAGTCGATAGGAATGAAGAGACCAAGTCATCAATGAGGATAATGGGGTTGAAACGAACAGTAAATCCAAGACTCCCCTTCGCATATGTGTGGATTTCTTGCTTATGAGAGAGACGTGGGAAGTCTCGTAAGAGATGAATGAGATGGTGACCAGAGGTGCAGGTTTTGTGAGCACTGGAAGTGGAAGGATTGTTCCACAAGGGATTATGGGCATTAAAGTCTCCACATAGAAAATGTGGTCAAGTTGGAGTCTGGCTGATTCACGGGGGCAGCAATAAATGTTGAAAACATGAAAAACGCCTTCTAGTAAAGAGACGGTGACACCTTGATATTCAATTTCCGGGCCGCAGTGGGCATGAAGGTGAATGGGTTTGGCTAAGATATCAGTTCGAACAAAGATGGAGGTGCCTCTATTTGTGCCAGTGCTATTGTGAAAGCCATTATAGTTATGGGATTGATGTCGGATTTAAGCGAAGTTTCTTGCAGGACGACAACATCATATCTAGTGTCAGCTAATGCAAGGCTTAGAGTAGGGAGGTTGGTTTTCAGTCCATTGACGTTCCACTGCAATATGTGAAGGCTGTTAGAGCCGGGAGAGATGCTAGTCATGATCTTCAGGAGCATCTGAGTCCATGTCAGAGTCTACATAACGGAGGAGCTCTTTGCGGTGATTAGAATCGCTTGGATTGGAGGTGTTTGGTCTGTCAGGAATGTGGATAACTGGAGGGGATTCATCTTCAGAGGCAGAAAACTCGGCATTGGTGAGAGGAGGCAGGTGAACCTCAACGTCTGTGGACTGTTTGGTGGAAATATGGGTCTGGGACTGTTCTGAGGAGTCTCTGTCACTACTCAGATCGGTTTCTCTGAGATAGGTAATCTGGGGTCATGTCAGTGGAATCGATAGACTTCGCAGATGGTGTGGGATGGCCGGCCGGCGCAGTCATTGACGTATCAGACAGAGGAAGAGTGGGAAAAGCTTCCAAGGAGATAGTGGGAGCGCTTGTAACTTCATAGTCGACTGTGGAAGTAGAGGGAGTTTTCATAGGGGGATGTTTGTAGGCTGAAGAGTTGAGCACAGTTGTTACTGCCTCCTTTATTAGATGTTAGTCTGTCTGTCTCCCAACTAGGAATAAGCCCATCTGGAGAATAGAGGAGAGAATATCTACCTCTAGTGTTGAGTCTCGTTGATGACAGTGGCAAGGTCTTGGAGGAATAGATGGAATGGAGGATAGTGAGGGCCGGGAATCTTTGGCTGCAGCCGAAACTGCGCTGGCATAAATGACAGAAGTGGTAGGAAGACTAAAAGAGCGAGGGCGGAAGTGTTGCCCCACGAATTGGTTTTTCGTGGGAAGAAGCGACCAGTTGGAGCTCTAGAGGTTCGTAGCCCTGCCGGAAGATTTATCCTCTTGTAACGTTCCTCACAAATAGGGTTCCCTGCATGATGGCCTAATCCACAGTTTGGCCACTTAGCTGTGGGTCGGGAACCTTCCTTGGTTTTGCGGATGCATATGTCCGTGAGGTGCTCTTCTGAGCACACTCTACATCGTGGTATGGAACGACATTTGGTCACATGGTGATCAAACCGTTGGCACTGAGTGCACCTCAGAGGTTCCCAATAGTATTCTCTGAGGGAGAAAGTTCCAAATATACCGAGGTGTATCTCTGTAGGTGGGTCGCCGACAATAGTCACAAGAACTTGCCGGATTTCTTCCTTTGAGGAGCGAACCTTCAGGCGGGTTGCGGACTCGATCTGGGGACGTTCTTCGAGGCGTTCCATTGGAAATCCCAAGGGGTATCCTTCAAAGACCATTCTGGGCCCGGATTCACTAACACACTTACGATGGTAAAATCACTGGTAACTATAGTTACCATGGTAAACAGACAGCAGTGGTATTCACTAACAACTTACCATTTGAGTTACCATGGTAAATTTTACTAGTGGTCAGAGTACTGGTATGTCACCTGGTAAATACAGAGAAATCGTGCTCTTCACGTGTTTTTCTGTTCATAAGTCAATATCTAAGGTAAGCTTTTAGGTTGTTTATGTAAGTATTATGATTGGAACAATGGTAAGCATTTAATAGCGCATGGACAGGGCAAAATTATGCTACTTTCACATGAAATCAGGATGAATAATAACCCTGCGAAATTTCCGGTAGACATAGGCCTATAGCCCAGTGTGAATATTACGTATCATCGGTAGATAAATTAATCCTAAGATATGTTTCTCATGTAATTAGTTATCAATTAAAAATAAGAGAAACTTAATGCATAAATTGGTAACAGCGTAAAACTATAGTACCAGCAGCTACGAACTGATAAGAGCAACACTTTCTAAACCGAGTTTGGACAAGCTCCGTGACTGACGATAATTAGTGACGAACATGTTTGGGGACAAAGGAAAATGAACATTATCTTAATCAGGGGTTCAGTTGATCTTGAATTCTTTGCTCCGAGGCTAAGAACTGCACCGCTCGCTGCTTAAAACAACGACCGTTAAAGCCTGAGCAGTGTTGCTAATCCACACGAAGGCTGTACTATGTGTCAAGCCTGAAAAAGTTAACACTTAAACTCAAATACTTTTACAATATATTTTCTTTAATTAATAGATCTACGCCAGCATCTTTACAAGGCCTAATATTTTATCCTAGATGTATAAGCAGTGTACCTAAATCTGACACACCGATTGGCAACTCTGATACCTTGGCGCGTTTTTAAAACCATACTCAAAACAAACGGGCATAAAATAAAACACTATTATCAATATGTATTTCCATATATACAATTATATGAAGATCATAATAGAAAGTCACTGAATGTAATATAAAGAAGGAAATGTTTGAAATACTGAAAAAATCTGCCTTCAATATTATATATATATATATATATATATATATATATATATATATATATATATATATATATATATATTATACACATGCATGCACACACACACACACACACACACACACACACACACACACACACACACACACACACACACACACACACACACACACACACACACACACACACGCACGCACGCACACACACACACACACACTTATTTGAACTTGTAGATATGCTGACTCTCATGATGTGTATTTAATGCAATTGCAGAATGGAGCTTTTATGGGCACTGGAACATGACCGACTAAGGAGAGAAAGGGTGTTCAAAGACAGACTTAACCCTCTGGCAGTTAGTGATGCCCATCTGTTAAGGTATTGAAGAAGTGGCAATTTCTATGAAATATGTTATAAAAACTATTAAATTTCGGAGATTAAGAAATGTCATTTCGCTGACCAGTGATCTAAACCTAATATTTTACAGATACTACAGGTTCCCTCGCAATGATATTCAGTGGCTGTGCGAAAGCCTCGGGGCCCATATTTCAAGACACACCAACAGGTACCTGTGGCCACACAAGTGCTGGTTGCCTTGCGATTCTACGCAAGTGGCAGCTTTCAGAGTGTGATAGGGGACTCGCATCATAAATGCTGTGACTGATGCTATTTTTAACATAGCTCAGAGGGACATAAAGATGCCTCGTAGGAGGGAAGAAATTCAGAAGATCAAACAGGACTTCTTCGCAGTTTGTGGCTTCCCAAACGTGCTGGGGGCCATTGACTGTACCCACATTCCAATCAAAGCTCCAAGGCAAGAACATCTTTATCTAAATAGAAAGAGGGTCCATTCTTTAAATGTTCAAGTAGTATCGGATGCAAGTTCGAGAATTTTGAGTTTTTCTGCAAAATTCCCTGGAAGTGTGCATGATTCCTACATCTGGAATGACAGCATTTTGCGTCGACACTTCCAAGAACAACAGTTCGGGCACTCATACTTACTTGGTAAGTATATAGATAGATAGATAGATAGAGATATACATATACATATATACATTTGTAAAGTCATAGATATGTACAGTTGACCAAAGTACTTTATTGTTGCCTTGCAGGGGATTCAGGATATCCTCTTGAAACTTGCCTCATGACACCTCTGGCAGAAACAAGAACGGCAGCAGAAGTACGCTACAACAGTAGCCATGCTCGCACACGAGCAGTTATAGAACAAACTTTTGGGGTGCTGAAAAGTAGGTTCCGCTGCTTGCATAAGTCAGGTGGTGCACTCCAATATACGCCAGAAAAGTGTGCAAAAATTGTAGCTTGTTGCATGCTTCTGCACAATATCTGTGTCAAAAGAGGCATACCTTTCCAAGACATCCTAGAAAATGACGACCCACCCGAGGAAGCAGTGATGAATTTCATTCCTGAGAGAAGTGCTCAGCAGGAGAGGGTGGCATTAATAAATGGCTCATTCTGATTTTCTAGTCGTATGGGAGACTTTTCTTTGGCATTAATGAGTTTGTTTTAAAGTGGATTTGACTTTGAGGAGTTTTTCATATTTATGTCTTATTTTCTACCAAAGATGGTTATATGTTAGTTGAGTTTGTATTCTATAGCTTTTCCCGTAGCAAATATTTGTAATTCATATGGAAAGGATTAATTTTGGAATGTGCAAATATATCTGTGTAAAAAATACGCTTGTGAACCAATGGTTATGCCTGTTTTTCTTGTGTGACAATGTTTCCTTTAATATATATATATATATATATATATATATATATATATATATATATATATATATAATATATATATATATATATATATATATATATATATATATACAAACTAATATGCAATGCCACATATTGATAAGGAAAAGTATGGATGCCACGTTTAAATTTCAAGGATTTGCTGTGACCTAAGGCAAAGGCACTATTATTTCAAACATTTATTAACATCTGACAAGCCATAACAAAAGACCAATAGAAAAATAAATAAGTCGTGAAAGAGAGGGAGAGGAAACAAAAGAGGAAATGACGAAGAGAGAGAGAGAGAGAGAGAACGAAGAGAGAGGAGGAGATAAAAGAAGGCGAGAGAGAGAGAGAGAAAGAGGGGGGCAGTGGATGCAAAGAGAAAGAGAGAGAGGAGGAGATAAAAGGAAGGCCACACAAACACACGGAGAGAGAGAGAGAGAAAAAGAGGGGGGGGCAGTGGAGGAAAGGATGCAAAGAGAAGAGAGAGAGAGAGAGAGGGGAGGGGGGGGGGGGAAAGGTACAAAATTTCACAATAAATACACATTATGGTTTCTTGATAGTCCTCAAAATGCTTGTAAACTCAAGTAATGTTGCATTAATATTTCTGAAGAGCTGTTGTCTGGCCCTCAGGGCATTTCGAATACCTCGAACCTCATCGAGGATACCCTCCTGTACCTCCAGCATGCGAGCTGATAACGGTTGCTGCGCTGTACCAGAACTCCTGCTGCTAGGCCTACTATGTACTGGTGTTTCTGTCACTGGCTCAGCGGTGATGGGAGAAAGACGTTCATCCTCCTCAACATACACGGCTGCTGTCGGATAAGAACATGAAATTAACCCAATATACTACAGATAGTGTGTCCATCATAACACCATGTAACTGCTGCAATAAACAATAATTACATGTGACATCACATTATTATCAGTTTGTTACGAACAAGAACAAAAGCTTCCTATGATAACTTTCAATATGTATCAGATATAAAGAACTGTTACCACTGAGAAGTAAGTCCAAATTAGATTCAGGTTTACTTACTGATTTCAGCAACAGCTTCAGCAGACTCTGACTGCAGAGAATCAGAAATGCCATATACCACAGCCGGGTTAATAAGCTGGGCCATGGCCTCCTCAGCAGGAGTCAGAGGTGGAGCTATGGATGGACCTCCTCCTGCAAATATTATTACATGAATCTCTCCATACTATTACAGAAAACATTACACAATAAAGTCAGATAATTTGAGAATATTTCAGACAAATTAGTCAATAATGCAGAACTATGATTTTTCCAAACAATTTTCTAATTTCAAAGTTTTAGCTTCATCTATTATCATGCGCTGAATATTTAAGCCTACATATTCCTGGCATTTGAACTAACCTGTGGCGTTTTGCAGTTTTTTTCTGAAGTTCAGCTTCTTCTTCGTGTGGCTTTTGAAATCGATGTATTTCAGCTTCACTTCCTCGGGGCTTCGCAACGTCTTGCCCGTCGCGTTGACTACTGCTGTCACCTCCTCCCACGCTCTTAGCTTCATTTGATGGGTCACGGTGGCAGTCAGGGGCCCCTCTAAGATCTCCTGGTGAAGCTGAACATTTGCAATGAGCGCCATGAGCTCATCATGGGTGAAGTTTGGCCTCCTTTTCTTAGAAACTGAAGACATTCTTGCAGTAATGTCAAAAAACCGCGCTCTTCTGCTGGGTCTTTGTTTACATGCTACGTGATTGGCCGAAGACGCCTAAAGCATTGTGTATGGCGGTCGCTGATTGGTCCAATTCTTTTACCAGACCGCCAAGATTGCCATCTGTTGGCTACCATTGGAACTAGTGGTAATTTCGATTTACGATTGTAACACTGACAAGGTGAGTTACCATTGCTTAGTGAATACCGCTTTACCATTACTGGTACCTGCTGTGGTAAATGACTCCTGGTAAATGCGTTACGATCGTATGTTAGTGAATCCGGGCCCTGGTCTTTCTTGAGCGGGGGATTGTAGATGTTAAGGTTAATAGCCTTGCCGCTACTGAGGATGTTAGTAGTTTGCAGGATATCGAGGTCTCTGGTTTTGGCCTGCAGGATGTAGTCACCCTTTGGTGTCAGCTTCGTGGAGACCTGCAGGGTAGGAAAGTCCATCTCAAGAGCGAGAAGAGCAGCAGTGGAGGAGAAGTCTTCAGACTGGGAAACAATGAATTGAGTGGTAAGAGAAGCATCACTGAGAGAGGCTGTCGATGGTTTATCGAGAGCAGTTGATGTAGGCTGCGACGACACAGGTGATTCCGCTCCGCTGGTCGTAGCGTCCATCATTTAAGTGGGGGGCTCCGAGGGTTCATGTACTGTCGAGGGGGCAGATCCTGCCTGGAGACTGACAGTGCCAGAAAGATCTTGAGGTTGAGTGGGAGAAGACTTTTTCTTGACCTTCCACATCTTGAAACAAACTATGATGGCTCACTTCCCTGCCAAATTCCTCATTAATACCTATAAACAATAAAATGAGGAAAACGACCCTAATAAAGAAAACCCGTCTCCAAAGCTTAAAGCAGCCAGTCTACTGGCCCACTTTGTGGCACTGCCCGCAGGGTTCACCTTCTCTTTGGAGGGGACACTAAAAAAAAAAAAAAAAAAAAAAAAAAAAAAAAAAAAAAAAACAAGGGAAAAGAAAACTCTTATCTCTTTAAAGTGGACAGGAATCTGTCAGAATTTAAATTATTCTTCAGTGGCCGACGATCTTGCAGCTGTGCAGAGGTGAGTCCTTCGCTCACTACATAGATGGCCAGCTCCCGGGGATGCCGGAACCGTAGTCCTTCGCTGACAGCGTGGATGACGAGTTCTTCGACGACTCAAATCAACTCTCGCTTGGCATGAAAGTAACCAGCTTAGCATAGAACACGGGCGCAGCTCGCACCCGATGTTGATGAGGACCTTTGCTGAACGAAAGATCTTGCTGCTACAGCGGCTGCGAGGGAGGAGGGGGGTAATGCACTATTCACTACCCGTGAATTAGGTAGTCCGGGTTCTGCTTTCGCCACCCGGTTATTGGTGCTAGTTAAGGTGGTCTTATTTTGTTTGATTTTGTATTGAGTTTACATTTGGTTAAAGTTTATCTTGGGGGAGGTGCCATAGAGATTGTTTGGAAAGATTCCTCTGATTCTAGTATGATGCGGGCACAAGTTGCTGCTACAGTTCTTCTCTATGAGGTTTCTATGTCTGGTACATCCCTGAAATTGTGTGGTCTAATGTGATAGACTGCCTGACAGTCTAGTAGGTAGTGTGTTAGTGGATGGCGCACCACAGTCTGACAATGATTGCACTCTTTTGGCACTCGTTCATTAATCTCCCAGCTACAAGGATAGCCTAGCCGTAGCCTGTGGATGATAACAGCATCCTTCCTGGACATGGAAGAGGGGATGGTGATGGTTTCGTATTCGGTGACAGTTTTGTACCAGGTCGCGGAAGGTGAACCTGCTTGAACTCAGACTTGGTGTTGGATGAGTGCAATTTGATTAGCAGTAATCTTGGCTCTGTTTTTGATCTGGCTGATGCTTGGTTTAATCGGCTGTATGTGAGTTTGGTGGAGGCTGGATTTGGCTGCTGAGTCTACACGATCATTGCCTTCATTGCCTGACTGGGAATCCACATTATTCGGACTGTCTTACCTTGTTGAGTCAGTTGTTGTAGCTTGAACAGAGTTGATGTTACTAAATAAACATTGTCTAAGTGAGCATGGTTCTGTAAGGTGTGAATGGCAGAGAGGGAGTCAGTGAAAATACAGACTGTAGGTTTTGTACAGGATAGTGCATATGTCAATGCTGATCGAATGGCAAACAGTTCTGCCTGGAGGATGGAGGAATCATTGCTGAGTCTCGATGCCTGTACATAGTCGTTGCAAAGAAATGCACCTCTGGCTTTGCCTGATTCTGGATCAACAGACCCATCAGTGTAGATGACAGTCATGTCTCTGTCATTCTCAATTGAAGAGATAGTATCTCGTAGATTCTGGAGGTCATTTGGAAAGCAGTTCTTCTTAGGTCTCGGGAGACTAATAGAAAAGCTGCAAGTGGTGGTTCCTAGGGATTTGGTTCTGCATATCCATGGTGTGGTGCATCAATGCTGCGGGACAGTAGAGCAGGAAGGAGGTTGAAGGAGGTGATGCTTTGGTGGATTTCATGATGCCAGGGAAGGACGCGGCGATGAGGGGCTAGGATGGCTAGGATTCGTCTTAGAGAATCTCCCAGGGGAGACTGTCTATAATTGGAGACTATCTTGCAGACATGACCTGCTACGATCTGCTGGATTCTTGTATGCATGGGAACTAACTTGGCCTCCAGACGCAGGTTCACGAGGCGCGTCCACCTAGGGGCACCGAGGATGACACGCATGCACCTGTTTTGGATGGTTTCAAGTTTATTAACCTGGGCTGGGGTAAGAGACAGTAGGGAAAAGGAGCTGTAGTCTATGAGCGACCGGATAGCATGTACATAGAAAGATCTTAAGACATGGAAGCCAGCTCCTAGTCTTGTTGTGGTGAGTCGTCGTAAGACATTGATTCTTGCTTTGATTTTGTCCATTTGAGTTTCTTCTTCAATACGATGAGACGGTGCTTAAGTTCACGGACTCTATCGTTGTAAAACCAGGCATTCTTGTGAGTGAAGACACTGGTGCCTACTTTGGGGATGGCTTGGTTGGCTGCATGGTGGAGGGCGGCAACAATCTCTTTTTCCTGGTCTTCTAAGT